TAAGCAGATGGAAACCCGGGAAAAGGTGAGGTTGGGTTACTAATGAACCCCCCTGGCGGCAGGGTGCGGGAGCACGTAAAGCTCCAGAGTAGAAGCTCCGGGGGGCGCAGTACTGAGCAGTGCAGCCCCGCCTTAGACCCAGACACACCGGGAACTGACCACGGAAAGTCTGCATCGAGGTTCCTGAGAAGTGCGGGTTACTTAGTAAGTGACGTGGGGAGCTGGCCAACCACCTGGAAGGGTGCAGTGTGGACCCGCCACCACGCTGTCACCAGGAGATGACCAGATGGATCGAACTCTCTGAATACAGCACTGGCCGGTTTGGCTCAGCAGTTAGAGCATCAGCCCTCAGACCAGAGCCATGGGTTCGATTCTGGCCAAGGACCCGTACCTCGGTTGCGGTTTGTTCCCGGGCCTGGTCAGGTCGTGTGGAAGCCAACCAGTCGACGTGTCTCTCTCACGTCGATGTTTCTCTCTCCTTCCCTCCCATTCCATCTGAAGATAAGTGGAAAAATATCCTCAGGTGAGGATTAAAAAAAGAAATTTAAATATCAAACGATGAAGTCCTAGAAGCCTGAGAATTGAACATGCAACACGGGTGTTTTCATCTCACGCGGGGACGGCATTTCTAAGTGGAACATAAAGCCCCCAACATAGAAGAGCGATTCGTCTGCCCGACTGAGAACAAATCGCAGCGTGGCGAAAGCTCAGGTCAGAGACGAGATACACAACAAGCTGGGGCAGAATGTCAGCAACTCCTACCAAGGCCTGTCACAGACAGGGTTTCTGGGCATCAAAATAAAACCAACTGCTCCGTAGCTCAGTGGACCGAGGACAGGACACTGAGTTGACAGAAGAGGGAATAGAAATCGCTCTCAGACGCACAGAGCGCCCAGCCTCGTCGTCACAGAAGTGGATCTAAATTACAGCGCACGACCGCGCTGTGTTCCTATCGGCGTTGGCAAAACCCAACCCGCTTGCTAACAACGTACCGTGTGTGTGTGGGAGGACAGGCACCTCCGTACTCAAACGTGTGCAGATTCCATGTTCAAGGAGATTTACTGTGGCGCTGTAACTGCTGGAGAACTGCCCTGTCGGGACCGGGGCAGGCCACCGGTGCAGCCCTGGTGTGTACAAGCGCCTCTGCGAGGCAGGGGCACGGCGGGGTGCAGGGAGGATGCTGCCATCTCTGCTCCTGAGACAGAGTGTGAGCATGCGTGCTGGCACACTTCTGCACGTGCAGAACACTTGGGAAGGACGCCCAGGGAACCGGCAATGCCAGTTCTCTGCAGAGAACTGAGGGTCAGGGAGCAGGCGTGCCATTCAGGTCATGCGTAGGGACTACTCGGTACCCGCTGTACCTTTTGAATTTGTACATAAACACAGTCCCCATGCCTACTAACAGTGATAATCCTTTAAAAGGACGTCTCTCTGTCCTCCAGTCGGGCAGAGCACACACACGCAGTTCCACCACCAGAGGGAAGTGGGGTGTGCAGAGGCCGGTGGGTGAGGCTGCAGGCTGGGCCTGAAGGCGGGGCTGGTGGACACCCAGGCAGGTGTGCGCTGCTTTTATTCCAAAACAGTTAACTGGCGCTGGGAATGGACCATCCCAAGGAGCCCCGCGAGGCTCTGGTGAAAGTCGAGGGCCTGTGGCCAGTGCAAGGGTTTGTAGGGGCTCCTCCCGCCCCTACTTGGGGGCCGTGCCCTGGTGAGGGAGCTGTGCAGTGCCCGCCCGTGCAGGGTGCCCTGGGCCCTGCCACAGACTGCCACTCAGCTCCTGGGAGCCACCTGTTTAAATCTCCATCCTCGTCCGTCATCTCAGATGGAAAGCTGGGTTCGTAGATCCTTCAAACTGGAATGCAGCAGGTGAACCAGTGCCCAGGGTGGTGTCCACCTGCGGCTGGACTCAAAGTTCTAGGGCTTTGTTTTCCTTAAAGCTAAGAAAGGGCATGGCGTTTCAGCTCGGCAGCTAAGACATCTCATTGATGCAGCACCCAGAACTCTCCTGCCTCTCGTCTGAAATTCGAGAAAAGTCTCAGCTCCTACCTCTGGCCCTCCCACATCACCTGGCAGAAACGTGAAGATCGGAGAATGTGAGCTTCTAAAATTTACTTCACTTTGTTGCCTGATTCACCAAGAAGCCTCTAGTAACCCTTGCTCGTTTCTGCCCCTTTAAATATAACACTTGACACATCAACTGTGTGTTCCCACTTCCCGTCTCGCAGCGGCTGCCACCAAATTCTCTAGTCACGTCTCCCGTTTGTGGCTCATTTTTTCACATTCACTGTAGTTTTTTTTTTTTTTTTTTAATGAACACAAGTTCTGAAATTAATGTAGTTACACATGGCAAGAGTTTCTTTGGTAGTAAACTCTCTTGTATTAAGTGTTCAAAAAGTCCTTATGACCTCAGAGTCGGAAAGAGAGTATACATTTGCTTCTAAAATGTTTTAAAAGCTTCCTTTTCATATTTAAGTCCTTCAGCCACATGGAGTGGCTTTTTGCAAGTATGGTGGGGAAGGGCCCGATTTCAGTCTCTCCCAGGATGCATCTGGACAATTTTCCGAACAGTCCCATTGGTCTGAAAGGTTGTTATAAATCCCAGTCCCATGAATAAACGCAGGGTCTTCTGATTGTTCCATGTTACTTTGTCTCCTTACTGCAGGATCTCACACCTCAATGATCACCCCAGGCTTTATGATGAACTGGAGACCTTGGGGTGCAGTCCCACCCAGGCACACTGCTCTTCCGCAGGCTGTGCTGGCTTGAATGAGCTTGTCGGGCCCCACAGAAACTTGGGGTTTTAATCAAAGTTGCAATCTACACATCAGTCCAGGAAGAACTAACGTCTTGATAATAATCTTTACAGTATTACAGGTCTTTGATTTTTCACCAAGCCTGTAATTTTCTGTGTACAGGTCTTAAGTTTTGTCGGGTTTGTTCCTAGGCACCTCAAGTTTTTTGCTACTGAACATGCTGGGTTATTTTTTTTTCTTTTTAAACCTGTTTTCTAAACCATTCAATGCCGACATGTCAAAATGCATTTGATTGTACTTTGATCTTGCAGCCAAACTCTCATTTCTACTTATCTGTAGTTTTTTTGTTTTGTGTGGACAACCGTATCTGTGAAGAGTGACAATTTCATTTATTCCTTTTCAAATCTTTGCTTTCATTTTCCACTTCCGTGCGGTCCCTGCTAGAACTCCAGCCGGCGCTGGCCAGAAGAGGCTGTTTCCCGCCTCGGTCTCCACTGGGGACAGCTCTGCGAGCCCATGGAGGCAGCGTTTGCTGCAGAGCGTTTGCAGATGCTTTTCGCCAGGCGGGCGGGCTCGTCTGTTTCCGGTTGCTTGGTTTTTAGCTAGAATGGGTGCTGTTTTGTCAAAGGCTCCTCGATCCACCCATTCTAATGATGACATGCTTTCCCCCTTGAGTCTATTGTGACAAAGGGCATTTATAGATTTTTCTAATGCTAAATCACTCTTGCTCTCAATAAACCCAGTTTGGACACAACCTATTACATATTCTTATGTGTTGGAATGATATATTCCTAGGAAGTTAAACCTGTTAAACCAAGTGTCCAGAGCATGTTAAAATGAATCTTTCAATTCCTCTATTACAGAAAATGTAGGCTTTCCATTTCTTCCCGGGGCACTCCTAATAAATTACATATTCTAGGAGTTTGTTTCCAGTTTACTAAGTTTCCAGATTTATTGGTATGAATGTTCACATTATTATTTTTTTTTTTATCTCTGCTGATCTGTTCTGTGTCCCCTTTAATCCCTAATGTGGTCCGTGTTTCTTTCCCGCCTGGCTCATCTCATCGGAGTTTTTACCCGACTTGCTCTTTTCAAAGGGCCAGCATGGGCTCTGTGGGCCCCTCTGCTCTTTCTACTTCACTGTTTACTCCTCATCTCCTCCTCCTACTTGTCACGGGTTTATTGTTCTTGTTCTAACTTTAGAAAGTGATTATAGTTGGCATACAGTATTATGTTTCCAATTTTTTTTAACTTCCTAAATGTATATTTGATGCTTAATTTTCAGCCCTTCTTTTTGCCCAATATCACTATTTAAAGCTGTTTCCCCCCTTAGTGTTCCTAATGTGTTATGTAGTATTTACTAATTCCTCTAGGGAAATTTTACTTTCATTTAGTTATAAGTTGGTTTGGGATTCATTATGACTTCCATATATAAGGGGTTCTAGAAAATTATTTTTAAAATACACATGAATATCTGAATAGTAGAGCAAGAACGTGATTTATCAATTCCTCAACTTATTGAGACTTGGTAATGGGCCAACCCGTAAAACATTAAAAAAGAATATTCAATGTGTTGCCCGGCTGGTGTGGCTCAGTGGTTGAGCGTCATCCCAGGGACTGAGAGGTCCCGGTTTGATTCCCGGTCAGGGCACATGCCCGGGTTTGGGCTCGACCCCAGTAGGGGGCGTGCAGGAGGCAGCCAATCAATGTTGCTCTCTCACACAGATGTTTCTCTCTCTCTCCCTTCTTCTCTCTAATCAATAAAAACATTTTCAAAAACTAGTCCATGTGTTTGAAACGAATATAGTGAACAAACTATTAGTTCAAGTTTGTTATTTAAATTTTCAAGCATTCTGTATATTTACTGATTTTTAATATGCTTGATCTATCAAAAAAAAGACTTGTTTAAATCTTTCAGTTTGATGGTACTTTGGCTATTTCTCCTTAAGCGCCGTTCCGTCTACTTTTCGAAGCTCCTGTTCCAGGTGAACGAGAGCACGAGCCCGTCCGAGTCAGCTACGAAGGGCAAGCGCCCGGCTCGCCATGACACGGGCCTGGCGCATGGGAGGACCTGGGCTCAGGGGGACCCGGAACTCGGTCACTAACTAGCCGTGAGATTTTGGGGAAATTACATAACCCCATTTTTGGCTTCTCATCCTTCAAATAATTCCTTTTGCCAAAGTCAGCATATTTCAAAGACTTTTAAGTAACAAAACTTTATTTTTGTTAAAGGCCAATTCTCTTAGACATCTGCAATGAAAACAGCCAGCAGGTCTCGAGAGAAAGGTTCTGCATGTCATCATTGGAAGAAACACATCAACACTGTTTTAAAACCTTTCATAACAGATATTCGATACCTTTATTGTGGAGGAAAAGATTATCAAAATAGAACATTTGCAAAAGCACAACTCTGAAAATGCCAGTTTCGTCCTTAGAGACTCAACCCTTCAAAGGCATTGCCATTATCCAGTCAGGAAGCAGAACTAGCCCTTGAGAAAAAAGCAAAAAATGCCCAAATCTTCTCCAACCACAATTACTTTTAATCTATGAAACCGAGCTTCCTCACAAACTAGTTTCCAGAGCAGTGCTGGTCCCACTGATGAGTTGCCTGTTGACATGACTGCAGTCAGAAGGGAGGTCTGTTACTGCCCCAGGAACTGGGAAGTGCCATCATTGAGGCAGGGAGGAGCAGGGCGGGCACCCATCCTCTGGGGCCAGGGCAGGGGAGCGCCGGGCACGCTGCTGGCGGACGCCGACATGCTCTCCAGCAGGCGTGTGATCCCTCTGCCCCGGACACTGCTGCTGGGGCCCGGAGGCTTCACCCCAGGAGGGCAGTCCGCTAAGACATTGGAAGGCAAGAGGAGAAAACCCACTTTCTAGTTTGGTTGTCACGAGACCCCTCCACTGACTCGACCTCTACTGCAGGCCTCCCCTGGTCCTGATGACCTGGAGGTGACAGAGCACCGCGTGCAGGCAGAGGCTGAACAAGATGACTTCTGCTCGGCTCGGCCCTGGGAGCCTTACCACAGCTCCTCCCACAACCCCTGAACTTCACGTCCCCGAAGACGTCATCGTATCAAAACTACAAAACTATAGCTGCTACAAGTACAACAGGTTTTATTTTAAATGCTCTGAATAAATGTTTAGAATAAATTAGATTGCTTCAAAGTGATACAAAAATGTACCTATTGCAACCATTCAAGGTGCTAATGGCAGGTAACTCCCTCATGCACCCAGACAGGCCCTTGGGCCCTACAGCAGGTGCAGAGCAGCCCCTATGGACCACGCCCTGGGCTCCTGATCGGCCTGGGGCCCGACCATTTGACCTGCATGCTCAGCAGATATAAGATGCTTACCTGTGTGTGGGCTTGATCTTGGTTCTTGATTAGAAGAATAGTTGAAATGAGAGAATCCTGGACTCTCAAGCCTTAGCTTCTATGAAAAGAAGAAGAATACCAGGGGGAAATTCTTATTTCTCACAAATATTGGATCATCTACTACAATTTCAAATGACTCTTTAAAAACACACACATTTTCCCAACATCTGACCAACTTTTTAAGAGTGTCTGTGGAGGAGCAGAGGGGCGTCTGGGTGGAGAGTGTCTGTGGAGGAGCAGAGGGGCGTCTGGGTGGAGAGTGACTGTGGAGGAGCAGAGGGCGTCTGGGTGGAGAGTGTCTGTGGAGGAGCAGAGGGGCGTCTGGATGGAGAGTGTCTGTGGAGGAGCAGAGGGCGTCTGGATGGAGAGTGTCTGTGGAGGAGCAGAGGGCGTCTGGATGGAGAGTGTCTGTGGAGGAGCAGAGGGGCGTCTGGATGGAGAGTGTCTGGAGGAGCAGAGGGCGTCTGGATGGAGAGTGTCTGTGGAGGAGCAGAGGGGCGTCTGGATGGAGAGTGTCTGGAGGAGCAGAGGGGCGTCTGGATGGAGAGTGTCTGTGGAGGAGCAGAGAGCGTCTGGATGGAGAGTGTCTGTGGAGGAGCAGAGGGGCGTCTGGATGGAGAGTGTCTGTGGAGGAGCAGAGAGCGTCTGGATGGAGAGTGTCTGTGGAGGAGCAGAGGGGCGTCTGGATGGAGAGTGTCTGGAGGGAGCAGAGGGTGTCTGGATGGAGAGTGTCTGTGGAGGAGCAGAGGGGCGTCTGGGTGGAGAGTGTCTGTGGAGGAGCAGAGGGGCGTCTGGATGGAGAGTGTCTGTGGAGGAGCAGAGGGCGTCTGGATGGAGAGTGTCTGTGGAGGAGCAGAGGGGCGTCTGGATGGAGAGTGTCTGTGGAGGAGCAGAGGGGCGTCTGGATGGAGAGTGTCTGGAGGGAGCAGAGGGTGTCTGGATGGAGAGTGTCTGTGGAGGAGCAGAGGGGCGTCTGGGTGGAGAGTGTCTGTGGAGGAGCAGAGGGCGTCTGTGGAGGAGCAGAGGGCGTCTGGGTGGAGAGTGTCTGTGGAGGAGCAGAGGGGCGTCTGGGTGGAGAGTGTCTGTGGAGGGAGCAGAGGGGCGTCTGGATGGAGAGTGTCTGTGGAGGGAGCAGAGGGCGTCTGGGTGGAGAGTGTCTGTGGAGGAGCAGAGGGCGTCTGGATGGAGAGTGTCTGTGGAGGAGCAGAGGGCGTCTGGGTGGAGAGTGTCTGTGGAGGAGCAGAGGGGCGTCTGGATGGAGAGTGTCTGTGGAGGAGCAGAGGGCGTCTGGGTGGAGAGTGTCTGTGGAGGAGCAGAGGGGCGTCTGGATGGAGAGTGTCAGTGGAGGAGCAGAGGGCGTCTGGATGGAGAGTGTCTGTGGAGGAGCAGAGGGCGTCTGGATGGAGAGTGTCTGTGGAGGAGCAGAGGGCGTCTGGGTGGAGAGTGTCTGTGGAGGAGCAGAGGGCGTCTGGGTGGAGAGTGTCTTGTGAGGAGCAGAGGGGCGTCTGGATGGAGAGTGTCCTGTGGGGAGCAGAGGGGCGTCTGGATGAGAGTGTCTTGGAGGAGCAGAGGGCGTCTGGATGGAGAGTGTCTGTGGAGGAGCAGAGGGCGTCTGGATGGAGAGTGTCTGTGGAGGGAGCAGAGGGCGTCTGGGTGGAGAGTGTCTGTGGAGGAGCAGAGGGGCGTCTGGGTGGAGAGTGTCTGTGGAGGGAGCAGAGGGGGCGTCTGGATGGAGAGTGTCTGTGGAGGAGCAGAGGGGCGTCTGGGTGGAGAGTGTCTGTGGAGGAGCAGAGGGCGTCTGGGTGGAGTGTGTCTGTGGAGGAGCAGAGGGGCGTCTGGATGGAGAGTGTCTGTGGAGGAGCAGAGGGGCGTCTGGATGGAGAGTGTCTGTGGAGGAGCAGAGGGCGTCTGGGTGGAGAGTGTCTGTGGAGGAGCAGAGGGGCGTCTGGTGGAGAGTGTCTGTGGAGGAGCAGAGGGGCGTCTGGATGGAGAGTGTCTGTGGAGGAGCAGAGGGGCGTCTGGATGGAGAGTGTCTGTGGAGGAGCAGAGGGGCGTCTGGATGGAGAGTGTCTGTGGAGGAGCAGAGGGGCGTCGGGTGGAGAGTGTCTGGGAGGAGCAGAGGGGCGTCTGGGTGGAGAGTGTCTGTGGAGGAGCAGAGGGGCGTCTGGATGGAGAGTGTCAGTGGAGGAGCAGAGGGCGTCTGGATGGAGAGTGTCTGTGGAGGAGCAGAGGGCGTCTGGATGGAGAGTGTCTGTGGAGGGAGCAGAGGGCGTCTGGGTGGAGAGTGTCTGTGGAGGAGCAGAGGGGCGTCTGGGTGGAGAGTGTCTGTGGAGGGAGCAGAGGGGGCGTCTGGATGGAGAGTGTCTGTGGAGGAGCAGAGGGCGTCTGGGTGGAGAGTGTCTGTGGAGGAGCAGAGGGGCGTCTGGGTGGAGAGTGTCTGTGGAGGAGCAGAGGGCGTCTGGGTGGAGTGTCTGTGGAGGAGCAGAGGGGCGTCTGGATGGAGAGTGTCTGTGGAGGAGCAGAGGGGCGTCTGGATGGAGAGTGTCTGTGGAGGAGCAGAGGGGCGTCTGGGTAGAGAGTGTCTGTGGAGGAGCAGAGGGGCGTCTGGATGGAGAGTGTCTGTGGAGGAGCAGAGGGGCGTCTGGATGGAGAGTGTCTGTGGAGGGAGCAGAGGGCGTCTGGGTGGAGAGTGTCTGTGGAGGAGCAGAGGGGCGTCTGGGTGGAGAGTGTCTGTGGAGGAGCAGAGGGGCGTCTGGATGGAGAGTGTCTGTGGAGGAGCAGAGGGGCGTCTGGATGGAGAGTGTCTGTGGAGGAGCAGAGGGGCGTCTGGATGGAGAGTGTCTGTGGAGGAGCAGAGGGGCGTCTGGGTGGAGAGTGTCTGTGGAGGAGCAGAGGGGCGTCTGGATGGAGAGTGTCTGTGGAGGAGCAGAGGGGCGTCTGGATGGAGAGTGTCTGGAGGGAGCAGAGGGGCGTCTGGATGGAGAGTGTCTGTGAAGGGAGCAGAGGGCGTCTGGGTGGAGAGTGTCTGTGGAGGAGCAGAGGGGCGTCTGGGTGGAGAGTGTCTGTGGAGGAGCAGAGGGGCGTCTGGATGGAGAGTGTCTGTGGAGGAGCAGAGGGGCGTCTGGATGGAGAGTGTCTGTGGAGGGAGCAGAGGGGGCGTCTGGATGGAGAGTGTCTGTGGAGGGAGCAGAGGGGGCGTCTGGATGGAGAGTGTCTGTGGAGGAGCAGAGGGGCGTCTGGGTGGAGAGTGTCTGTGGAGGAGCAGAGGGGCTTCTGGTGAGAGAGTGTCTGTGGAGGGAGCAGAGGGGGCGTCTGGATGGAGAGTGTCTGTGGAGGAGCAGAGGGGCGTCTGGGTGGAGAATGTCTGTGGAGGAGCAGAGGGGCGTCTGGATGGAGAGTGTCTGTGGAGGAGCAGAGGGGCGTCTGGATGGAGAGTGTCTGTGGAGGGAGCAGAGGGGGCGTCTGGATGGAGAGTGTCTGTGGAGGAGCAGAGGGGCGTCTGGGTGGAGAATGTCTGTGGAGGAGCAGAGGGGCGTCTGGATGGAGAGTGTCTGTGGAGGAGCAGAGGGGCGTCTGGATGGAGAGTGTCTGTGGAGGAGCAGAGGGGCGTCTGGATGGAGAGTGTCTGTGGAGGAGCAGAGGGGCGTCTGGGATGGAGAGTGTCTGTGGAGGAGCAGAGGGGCGTCTGGATGGAGAGTGTCTGTGGAGGGAGCAGAGGGGGCGTCTGGATGGAGAGTGTCTGTGGAGGAGCAGAGAGGGCGTCTGGGTGGAGAGTGTCTGTGGAGGAGCAGAGGGGCGTCTGGGTGGAGAGTGTCTGTGGAGGAGCAGAGGGGCGTCTGGGTGGAGAGTGTCTGTGGAGGGAGCAGAGGGCGTCTGGGTGGAGAGTGTCTGTGGAGGAGCAGAGGGGCGTCTGGGTGGAGAGTGTCTGTGGAGGGAGCAGAGGGCGTCTGGATGGAGAGTGTCTGTGGAGGAGCAGAGGGGCGTCTGGGTGGAGAGTGTCTGTGGAGGGAGCAGAGGGGCGTCTGGATGGAGAGTGTCTGGAGGGAGCAGAGGGGCGTCTGGATGGAGAGTGTCTGTGGAGGAGCAGAGGGGCGTCTGGATGGAGAGTGTCTGTGGAGGAGCAGAGGGGCGTCTGGATGGAGAGTGTCTGTGGAGGAGCAGAGGGGCGTCTGGGTGGAGAGTGTCTGTGGAGGGAGCAGAGGGGCGTCTGGATGGAGAGTGTCTGTGGAGGAGCAGAGGGGCGTCTGGATGGAGAGTGTCTGGAGGAGCAGAGGGCGTCTGGGTGGAGAGTGTCTGTGGAGGAGCAGAGGGACGTCTGGGTGGAGAGTGTCTGTGGAGGGAGCAGAGGGGCGTCTGGATGGAGAGTGTCTGTGGAGGGAGCAGAGGGCGTCTGGATGGAGAGTGTCGGGAGGGAGCAGAGGGGCGTCTGGATGGAGAGTGTCTGGAGGGAGCAGAGGGGCGTCTGGATGGAGAGTGTCTGGAGGAGCAGAGGGCGTCTGGATGGAGAGTGTCTGTGGAGGGAGCAGAGGGCGTCTGGGTGGAGAGTGTCTGTGAAGGGAGCAGAGGGCGTCTGGGTGGAGAGTGTCTGTGGAGGGAGCAGAGGGCGTCTGGATGGAGAGTGTCTGTGGAGGGAGCAGAGGGGCGTCTGGGTGGAGAGTGTCTGTGGAGGAGCAGAGGGGCGTCTGGATGGAGAGTGTCTGTGGAGGGAGCAGAGGGGCGTCTGGATGGAGAGTGTCTGTGGAGGAGCAGAGGGGCGTCTGGATGGAGAGTGTCTGTGGAGGAGCAGAGGGGCGTCTGGATGGAGAGTGTCTGTGGAGGAGCAGAGGGGCGTCTGGATGGAGAGTGTCTGTGGAGGAGCAGAGGGGCGTCTGGGTGGAGAGTGTCTGTGGAGGGAGCAGAGGGGCGTCTGGGTGGAGAGTGTCTGTGGAGGAGCAGAGGGGCGTCTGGATGGAGAGTGTCTGTGGAGGAGCAGAGGGGCGTCTGGGTGGAGAGTGTCTGTGGAGGAGCAGAGGGGCGTCTGGATGGAGAGTGTCTGTGGAGGAGCAGAGGGGCGTCTGGGTGGAGAGTGTCTGTGGAGGAGCAGAGGGGCGTCTGGATGGAGAGTCTCTGTGGAGGGAGCAGAGGGGGCGTCTGGATGGAGAGTGTCTGTGGAGGGAGCAGAGGGGGTCTGGATGGAGAGTGTCTGTGGAGGAAGCAGAGGGGCGTACTGGATGGAGAGTGTCTGTGGAGGAGCAGAGGGGCGTCTGGATGGAGAGTGTCTGTGGAGGAGCAGAGGGGCGTCTGGGTGGAGAGTGTCTGTGGAGGGAGCAGAGGGGCGTCTGGGGTGGAGAGTGTCTGTGGAGGAGCAGAGGGGCGTCTGATGGAGAGTGTCTGTGGAGGAGCAGAGGGGCGTCTGGGTGGAGAGTGTCTGTGGAGGAGCAGAGGGGCGTCTGGATGGAGAGTGTCTGTGGAGAGGAGCAGAGGGCGTTTGGGTGGAGAGTGTCTGTGCGACGGAGCAGAGGGCGTCTGGGTGGAGAGTGTCTGTGGAGGAGCAGTGCGGCGTTCTGGGTGGAGAGTGTTCTGTGGAGGAGCAGTGGGCGTTCTGGGTGGAGAGTGTCTGTGAGGAGCAGAGGGGCGTCTCGGGTGGAGCGTGTCTGTGGAGGCGCTAGAGGGCGTCTGGGGTGGAGATAGTTGTCTGGAGGGAGCAGAGGGGCCGGTCTGGATGGAGATGTGTCTGTGGAGGAGCAGAGGGCGTTTCTGGGTGGAGTGTGTCTGTGGAGGAGCAGGAGGGCGTCTGGATGGAGAGTGTCTGTGGAGGAGGCAGCAGGGGCGTCTGGCGTGGAGTGTGTCTTGTGGAGGAGCAGAGGGCCGTTTGGATGGAGAGTGTCTGTGGCGGAGCAGAGGGTCCGTCTGGAATGGAGAGTGTCTGTGGAGGAGCAGAGGGGCGTCTGGATGGAGAGTGTCTGTGGAGGAGCAGAGGGGCGTCTGGATGGAGAGTGTCTGTGGAGGAGCAGAGGGGCGTCTGGATGGAGAGTGTCTGGAGGGAGCAGAGGGGCGTCTGGATGGAGAGTGTCTGGAGGGAGCAGAGGGGCGTCTGGATGGAGAGTGTCTGGAGGGAGCAGAGGGGCGTCTGGATGGAGAGTGTCTGTGGAGGGAGCAGAGGGGCGTCTGGATGGAGAGTGTCTGTGGAGGAGCAGAGGGCGTCTGGATGGAGAGTGTCTGTGGAGGAGCAGAGGGCGTCTGGGTGGAGAGTGTCTGTGGAGGGAGCAGAGGGGCGTCTGGATGGAGAGTGTCTGGAGGGAGCAGAGGGGCGTCTGGATGGAGAGTGTCTGTGGAGGAGCAGAGGGGCGTCTGGATGGAGAGTGTCTGGAGGGAGCAGAGGGGCATCTGGATGGAGAGTGTCTGAGGAGGAGCAGAGGGGCGTCTGGATGGAGAGTGTCTGTGGAGGAGCAGAGGGGCGTCTGGGTGGAGAGTGTCTGTGGAGGGAGCAGAGGGCGTCTGGGTGGAGAGTGTCTGTGGAGGGAGCAGAGGGGCGTCTGGATGGAGAGTGTCTGTGGAGGAGCAGAGGGCGTCTGGGTGGAGAGTGTCTGTGGAGGAGCAGAGGGCGTCTGGGTGGAGAGTGTGTGTGGAGGAGCAGAGGGCGTCTGGATGGAGAGTGTCTGTGGAGGAGCAGAGGGCGTCTGGGTGGAGAGTGTCTGTGGAGGAGCAGAGGGCGTCTGGGTGGAGAGTGTCTGTGGAGGAGCAGAGGGCGTCTGGATGGAGAGTGTCTGTGGAGGAGCAGAGGGCGTCTGGATGGAGAGTGTCTGTGGAGGAGCAGAGGGCGTCTGGGTGGAGATTGTCTGTGGAGGAGCAGAGGGCGTCTGGATGGAGAGTGTCTGTGGAGGAGCAGAGGGGCGTCTGGGTGGAGAGTGTCTGTGGAGGAGCAGAGGGCGTCTGGATGGAGAATGTCTGTGGAGGAGCAGAGGGCGTCTGGATGGAGAGTGTCTGTGGAGGGAGCAGAGGGCGTCTGGGTGGAGTGTGTCTGTGGAGGAGCAGAGGGGCGTCTGGGTGGAGAGTGTCTGTGGAGGAGCAGAGGGCGTCTGGGTGGAGAGTGTCTGTGGAGGAGCAGAGGGCGTCTGGGTGGAGTGTGTCTGTGGAGGGAGCAGAGGGTGTCTGGATGGAGAGTGTCTGTGGAGGAGCAGAGGGCGTCTGGATGGAGAGTGTCTGTGGAGGAGCAGAGGGGCGTCTGGGTGGAGAGTGTCTGTGGAGGAGCAGAGGGGCGTCTGGATGGAGAGTGTCTGGAGGAGCAGAGGGCGTCTGGATGGAGAGTGTCTGTGGAGGAGCAGAGGGCGTCTGGATGGAGAGTGTCTGTGGAGGAGCAGAGGGCGTCTGGATGGAGAGTGTCTGTGGAGGAGCAGAGGGCGTCTGGATGGAGAGTGTCTGTGGAGGAGCAGAGGGCGTCTGGATGGAGAGTGTCTGTGGAGGAGCAGAGGGGCGTCTGGGTGGAGAGTGTCTGTGGAGGAGCAGAGGGCGTCTGGATGGAGAGTGTCTGGAGGAGCAGAGGGGCGTCTGGGTGGAGAGTGTCTGTGGAGGAGCAGAGGGGCGTCTGGATGGAGAGTGTCTGTGGAGGAGCAGAGGGCGTCTGGGTGGAGTGTGTCTGTGGAGGGAGCAGAGGGCGTTGGGTGGAGAGTGTCTGTGGAGGAGCAGAGGGCGTCTGGATGGAGAGTGTCTGTGGAGGGAGCAGAGGGCGTCTGGATGGAGAGTGTCTGTGGAGGAGCAGAGGGCGTCTGGATGGAGAGTGTCTGTGGAGGAGCAGAGGGGCATCTGGATGGAGAGTGTCTGTGGAGGAGCAGAGGGGCGTCTGGATGGAGTGTGTCTGGAGGAGCAGAGGGGCGTCTGGGTGGAGAGTGTCTGTGGAGGAGCAGAGGGGCGTCTGGATGGAGAGTGTCTGTGGAGGAGCAGAGGGCGTCTGGGTGGAGTGTGTCTGTGGAGGAGCAGAGGGCGTCTGGGTGGAGAGTGTCTGTGGAGGAGCAGAGGGCGTCTGGATGGAGAGTGTCTGTGGAGGGAGCAGAGGGCGTCTGGATGGAGAGTGTCTGTGGAGGAGCAGAGGGCGTCTGGATGGAGAGTGTCTGTGGAGGAGCAGAGGGCGTCTGGATGGAGAGTGTCTGTGGAGGAGCAGAGGGCGTCTGGGTGGAGTGTGTCTGTGGAGGGAGCAGAGGGCGTCTGGATGGAGAGTGTCTGTGGAGGAGCAGAGGGCGTCTGGATGGAGAGTGTCTGTGGAGGAGCAGAGGGCGTCTGGATGGAGAATGTCTGTGGAGGAGCAGAGGGCGTCTGGGTGGAGAGTGTCTGTGGAGGGAGCAGAGGGGGCGTCTGGATGGAGAGTGTCTGTGGAGGGAGCAGAGGGCGTCTGGGTGGAGAGTGTCTGTGGAGGAGCAGAGGGCGTCTGGATGGAGAGTGTCTGTGGAGGGAGCAGAGGGCGTCTGGGTGGAGAGTGTCTGTGGAGGAGCAGAGGGCGTCTGGATGGAGAGTGTCTGTGGAGGTAGCAGAGGGCGTCTGGGTGGAGAGTGTCTGTGGAGGAGCAGAGGGCCGTCTGGGTGGAGAGTGTCTGTGGAGGAGCAGAGGGGCGTCTGGGTGGAGAGTGTCTGTGGAGGAGCAGAGGGGCGTCTGGATGGAGAGTGTCTGTGGAGGAGCAGAGGGGCGTCTGGATGGAGAGGGTCTGTGGAGGAGCAGAGGGCGTCTGGGTGGAGAGTGTCTGTGGAGGAGCAGAGGGGCGTCTGGATGGAGAGGGTCTGTGGAGGAGCAGAGGGGTGTCTGGATGGAGAGGGTCTGTGGAGGAGCAGAGGGGCGTCTGGGTGGAGAGTGTCTGTGGAGGAGCAGAGGGCGTCTGTGGAGGAGCAGAGGGCGTCTGGGTGGAGAGTGTCTGTGGAGGAGCAGAGGGGCGTCTGGATGGAGAGTGTCTGGAGGGAGCAGAGGGGCTCTGGAGGGGACTGTGCCCGAATGGAGCAGAGCTGGGGTGAATCCCAGGCATCCAGCCCACCCTCCTCGGGACTGTGCTCCTCCTGCCTGGGGCTACCCGTGGGCTTGGAGGAAGGCAGGTGGCGGGGATTAGAGAGCTTTCAATCAAACTCTGAATCCAGTGTTGTACATCCTTGAAGTAGGTATTTTAAATAATTATCCACATTCAGATATATATGTTTTGGAAAACCTTTTCAATGTTCTGCAGAAAGACTAATTGCCAATTTCAATTTCTTAACACTGGGCAAGAGGAGGAACTGCAGCAGGAAGGGAAGGGTCCTTGCAGGAGCCACCTGGACCGAGGACTGGGTGACACTCCATGAAGACTAAGACCTTGGATGGGAAAGAGAGAACCCAAGGCCTGATCCCAGCTGCTGCTGACCAGGACCACACTAAGTAAGACATAAGAAAAAACAGCCTCCCTGGCCGGTGTGACTCCATTTGGCTGGCGTCATCCCGTGCACCGAGGGGTTCGATTCCTAGTCAGGGCACATGCCCTGGGTGTGGGTTTGATCCCCACTGGAGGGTGTGCAGGAGGCGGCCCATCGACGCTTCCCTCTCACAGAGATGTTTCTCTCCCTCTCTCCCTTCCTCTCTATCTAAAAATTAATTCCTAAAAATCTTTTAGAAAAGAAAAAAAGACACAGTAGCTCCCAAAGTCAGCCCCTACCTGGTACCGCCCTGCATCCAAGACCACCATTTTGGGTGTCACCCTGTTGCTGGCCTCATAATCCCGCAAGGGCACGTGGGCCTCCGTGAGCTGGATCCCGAAGAGCGTGGCCAGAGAGTTACTGATGCAGTACCTGCGGGGGGGGGGGATGTTACTGATGCAGCACCTGCGGGGGGGGGGGGATGTTACTGATGCAGTACCTGCGGGGGGGGGGATGTTACTGATGCAGTACCTGCGGGGGGGGGATGTTACTGATGCAGTACCTGCGGGGGGGGGGATGTTACTGATGCAGTACCTGCGGGGGGGGGGATGTTACTGATGCAGCACCTGCGGGGGGGGGGATGTTACTGATGCAGTACCTGCGGGGGGGGATGTTACTGATGCAGTACCTGCGGGGGGGTATGTTACTGATGCAGTACCTGCGGGGGGGAGGTGTAATGATGCAGTACCTGCGGGGGGGTGTTACTGATGCAGTACCTGCGGGGGGGGGTGTTACTGATGCAGTACCTGCGGGGGGGTGTTACTGATGCAGTACCTGTGGGGGGGGTTACTGATGCAGTACCTGTGGGGGGGGTTACTGATGCAGTACTTGTGGGGGGGTTACTGGTGCAGTACCTGTGGGGGGGGTTTACTGGTGCAGTACCTGTGGGGGGGGTTACTGGTGCAGTACCTGTGGGGGGGTTACTGGTGCAGTACCTACGGAGGGGTTACTGGTGCAGTACCTACGGGGGGGGTTACTGATGCAGTACCTGTGGGGGGGGGTTACTGGTGTAGTACCCGCGGAGGGAGAAGCTCATCACCAGACCCCCGCCCATTCTACAAGCAGCCCGCCTTCAACACTTCTAATGCAAACAGCGGTCAGAGACGCTGTTCTAATTGGGACAAAGAAAATCAGAGATTCTGAGAAGGAACGGGAATGGTAGCGATACACATAGAACTGGTCACTACTGAAATATTAAGTGTTTTACCGGGTAAAATTTCAGGTTCATTGTAAGGAAATGGGAATGAGGATCAAAACTACTAGAACTTGCGAACATGTAACAGGGAGAGGGCGGCACCAGAAATAAGCTACAATTTAAAAGCAATCTGCCCTGGGCCTGGCCAGTTTGGCTCAGCAGTTAGCGTTGGCCCGTAGACCAGAGTCACCAGTTCAATTCCGGTCAAGGGCACGTACCTCGGTTGTGGTTTGTCCCGGGCCCTGGTCCGAGTTGTGCGGGAGGCACCCAGTCAATGTGGCTCTATCACTCCCCACCCCCCACCTTCCACTCTATCTAAAAAAATGTCAATGGAAAAAGACCCTCAGGTGAGGATGAACAATAAATGGTAAGTGAGCAAAGACACCCCCTGCTCAGATCCAGCGATCCCAGAGTGGACGGGACCCCCGAGCACCCCGACCCCAGGTGCTTCCAGGCAGAAGGCAAGGGTGTTTCCAGAACCTTCCCGAGGAAGCGCTGCACTCCAGCCAGCAGGGCCCTCTCCCAGGGGAGCCTCGGGGGCAGGTCCCAGCGAGTGCTGGTGCCACCCAGGAAGTCACTGTGCAGACTCGAGCGACCTGGGCGTGTGGTGAGAGAGACGCGGGACACCCTCCTTGCAGCGAGAGGCGAGTGTGGACAAGGAGGCCAGCGGTGACCCCCAATCGCAAAGCAACAGCAAGCAAAACCGCGCAGACGTTGATGACGAATACCCACTATAAAGAGACTTCTTTCTCCGACTTACGCAATTTTCTTGCAAACAGCTAGCGCACAGAAGAGGATGTCGTGTTCTTCATGCCACTTGCACCTGCGTGGAAAGGACTGTGACTCCTGGTCTGTGAAAGTGCACCGCTTCCGGCCACACCCAGACTTCTCATTCACCTGGAGGAAGCCGCTTGAGAAAAGCTGACAGTATTGCTTAAAGATCAAGGCTTCTAATTTAACACAAAAAATAGATTTTTAAAATCAGATCATGTGCCCAGCTGGTGTAGCTCAGTGGCTGAGCACTGACCCTGCACCAAGAGGTCGTCTGCTCGATCCTGGTCAGGGCACATGCCCAGGTTGTGGGCCCGATCCCCAGTGGGGGGCATGCAGGGGGTGGCTGATCGCTGTTCCCTCTCATTGATGTTTCTATCTCTCTCTCCCCCTTCCTCTAAAATCAGTAAAGAAAAAAAACCCAGATCATTTTATGTTACCTCCTCTGATGCAAATACACGATGCTATGAAGCCACTCGAGACCCAACAGGCCAATTGCACTTGAAATGAATGAGTGTTGCAGAAACACCAGCGAGCATACACTCGCCCAGCACACACTCACTGGGTGCAGACAGGGTTATGCGTCCTCACCAGCGGTTCTCAACCTGTGGGTCGCGACCCCTTTGCAGATTCAATGACCCTTTCACAGGGGTCGCCTAAGACATAACAGGAGCAAAATTATAGTTAAGTAGCAGCAACGAAAATAATTTTATTGTTGGGGGTCACAACATGAGGAACTGCATTAAAGGGTCGCGGCATTAGGAAGGTTGAGAACCATTGCCTGAGTCACTCCTACTCTGCAGACTTTCAGATCGACCTAGAAACCCAGGCGCAACGTGTCACCTCCTAGGGAAGCACAGATGACCACACTGACCCGCTGGAGGCCGAAAGCCCGCAAGGCAGCTCTCTACCAGCAGCATGGACCTGCCCACAAGAGCCGCCAGCCTCAGTACACGACCTGTGTGAGAGAAATTCTAAAACAGACTTGAAAGCTCCCAAAATAGATTTGAACACAATTCCATAAAGAGACATCTTGTTCTCTGAATAGGATATTCAGCTTTATAAAGGTTTCCGTTCTCCGCGGTCATCTGCACATTCCATGCATCCAAGGGCTTTCTATGGAACCAGACTGAAGTGACCCTTCTGAACACGCTTTGTGTCTGAGCCGTGTCACAGGCCGCACTGCCACAGGATAACAGCGAGGATGGGAGGAAACAGAAATGGAATGAAACTAGCCAATGGACTTAACTGTATTACAAGTGTGCAATGTAACCACTCTGAAGGGAAAGACAAGACCCAGGTAACCTTTGAATGAACTGTTTTACTATTTACTCTGACTGAAAAACAACTGGACACTAATCCTGAGCTAGTTAACGTGTCTGCTCCTAACTGAAACGTCGTCTCTGGATCCCAGGGCTGAACAGACACCTGCAGACCCCAGCGCCAGGCTGCTCGCTCAGAGGAGGGAGATGCAGAACCAGAGAGTGGAAACCAGAGGCCCCTGTGGTGGGGGCTGGAACTGCAGGTTTGGTACAAACAGAGAAGGGGGAGGGGGGAGAAGGGGGAAGGGGGGATGGAGAGATGGCCGAGCTACATAGAAACGCGCGCAGAGGGCGTGTGCACGCATGTGTTCGCGCTCTCTCCACTGAGGGCACCAGAATCAGTGCCGCTCGGGCAGCAGTGAGCACCCCTGGCGCCCGGAGCTCGTCGGCCCTGCCCTCACCTGCAGACTGGGCTCCTGGAGAAGCGCCCACCCACGCTGCGGCAGGCGCGCAGGGGAGCCAGGCCCACGCGGCCAGAGCAGAGCAGCACAGGGGGCGCAGTGGCCGAAGCACACAGACACCCCTGCCCTGAAGCCAACAGGAACACCGTAGCCCGTGAGCACAAAAGGCAGCAGGGAGTCCCCGCTCCCAAGATAAACAAGCATGTGGGCGAAGGACACTCTTCCCTACGGCACCTGGAACAACAGGATTAGAAAGTCCATTTCACAAACGCGGTAGTAAGATTCGGGCAGAAAGCACCAATGGATGCTAGAATCAGCAGATCCGCGTTTCAGGAACAGATTCTCAAGTATCCCCTACAAAACATCACAAGATGAAAACATCAACCTTCCAGTGGAGAAACCTGGCAGGCAGTCTTAGTAGGTGACCAAAGGTGTCATCACTGGACGCTCGCCTCCAGGGTGACGTGATGGAAGAGGTTCCACTGGGCACTCCCCACAGATCATAGCCTGTCTGATCGCCAGGAGACAGGCACACTCAGCCACGCAACGTGACCTCCCCTACGACTGGCCATGAAAGTCAGAGTGAGGGACCCTTCCGGTGACAGGAGCCTGAAGAGACCCAATAACTATATGCAACGTGTGATCCTGGGTTAAACCCTAGGCTACACGGTTTTGTTTTGGGGGTGTGTTTGGCTGTAAGAGACACACTGAAACACGGCCTTTGGTTAGACAGCAGTACCCATGGCTGTGCCGGTCCGATCGTCACCCTGCGGCACGTTGTAGAAATGTTCTTGTTCTCAGGAAAACACTTCCCACTTAGAGGCAAAAGGGCATCATGACTGCAACTTGCTCTCCAGTGGACAGAGAGAGAGTCACGCAGACAGACAGCGTTAGACAAGAGCGAGTGACGCGGAGAAAACCCCACGCGGTCTCTGCACCATCCCTGCAGCTGTTCTCTAAGCCTGAAGGTACCGCAAGGTGAAAATACTTCCGCTACCTCACTCCACTTCTGCATTTCCTGTATGTGAGCGCGAGAACCCTACACAATGAGACATCTAAATAAACATAAACTCGTCAGTACAGCAATTCTAAGTGATCGAGTGCTCTCAATTGAACGGCCGTGTTGCTCTTAGTAACAGACGAAGGAACAATGCATATCAGTCAGTGGAGTCTCATATTCAAGCAAATACAAGGACTTCAGAGTTTAACAGGGAAACACGGCCTGTACAGGCAACACGAATCCTGCCCTGTTTCCTGGGCTCAGCAGAGAGGGCAAATCACTCTGTCCCCCAGTCACTGTAAATACCTCGTGTTGCTAGAATAATCCCACATGGCCACGTCTAGGAGGCTCCGGACCCAGGTCTTGGAGGGCTCCTTGAGAAACTTTTGCTGGTAGATCCCCACAACAAGATCCTCAACAGCGAGAAGTTCTAGATTCTGCTGGATTTCTTTCATTGGTAAACAGAAAAACAGACACAACAGTGCACTGTTACCTAGAGTGTATACGTCGAGATGGAGACAAGCAGACATGCAGCCCTGAGCAGGGCTCGAACTCACCGGACGTTCTCTCCATGCGTTTCAGACACCAGCTCACTCTGGCTCTGTCGTCAGACTGCGGGACAGAACACACTGACTGTACTCCTCCTGCCCGGTCACCTTCAGTTAACGCCGTCCTCTCAGACTGCGGGCGGGGCGGGCAGGAGAGGACGTGCCGACTAGATGAGGAGGACAAAAACAGCCACACACACCAGAAAAGACAGCAGTATTCATAACCAGCTGCATTCACAGAACATGTTCACACACTTTGTGAAAAGCAAGCGAGTCTTAGGGTAGACAAATGAAGAACCCAATATTCAGAGAAAGATACTCTAGTCATGGTTATGCTGATAAACATAAACATAAAATGAAGTTGAAACCCACTCCTTCAATTCCTAGCCTAGAAGAATTTAAACCAAAAAAACAAACAAACAAAAGAACAAATAAACTAAAGACTAAAAGGAGAGTCGAGGGGTCACTGCAGAACAGCTCTGAGAAATGGTGACTTTGTTCGAAGGTGGGGCTGCAGGCCAGGGCATCCCCTTCGGGTATAAGGACCTCAAAGGGGCTGCAGGAGGAACTAAAAACATGAGCTCTACCAAAGCAGAAACACATTCAGCTTTTGCAGTCCTTGAAGTCTCTCCAATATGGAAGCAATTTAATTGCACCCAATTCCACTGAAGAGAACTCACAGTGAGCGTGCCCGATTCACACACACAGGACAGACACACGTTCTTCCTTTGGGTACCTCCATGACTTTCGATACCTAAATAGGTGCCTAAAGAGACTGTGTCGACATTACCTTGCAGTAGATGGGTGGCCACTTCCCTGGGTTTGGATGAATGAACCTGTAAAGGTTTTGCAGCACAGTTGCTTGGTCACACCCAGACTCAAAGTTTGAAATAGGAATCTTGTGACTAGAATCACCTGAAGGAAACAAAGAGAAGGCAGGAGTTCTGACTTGTCCAAGGTGAGTGTTACCAAGCAGGTATGGCAGCAGGAGTGCAGGAGTGGGCAATGGGTACTCGAGACTTCAGCACTGGTACCAAGCCCGGTTATGGTCAGGTCCCTGACCTGTTTCGCCCAGAACCTCATCGGTAGGCAATCCACACGTGAGCAGACAGCGAGAACACGGTGCAGAGTGCCCCATCCAGTCTGCGGTTTCAGCCACCTGCTTCCACTGGTCCGGAAATAATCGAAAATTGCCCCAATAAACAATTCTTAGGTTTTAAATTGAGCGCCATTCAGAGCAGCGTGAAGAGATCTCACGCTGTCCCACTCTGCCCGCCCAGGGCGTGAGACGGCGTGTCCGGTCTCCACACTGTAGACACTAACTGCCCATGACAGCAGCCGAAGTTCCCAGATGACTGTCAGCGCCTGTGCTTGTGACCCAGCCACCTCACCTTCCTTAGTGACAGCCCCAAGCCGCGGAGCAGCGATGCTACGATCCAGATATGCCAAGGAGAACCTAGAAAACGTTTCCTTCGTGTGAAAAGAAAAGGTGCAAGTCCCCGACTTAAGAAAAAAAACTGTAGGCTGAGGTTGCCAAGATCCTAAGAATGAATCTTCCATCCCTGAAACTGTCAAGAAGGAAAAACTTGTGAAGGCCAGTACAGCAAGACATGCTGAAAGAGACCACATTTTCACGACTTTTATTATAGTAGATTGTTAATTGTTGTTTTATTAGTAGTTACTATTGTTAATCTCTTAGAATGCCTAACTGATATACTTTATCACAGCTGTCTGTGTAGGGAAAAAACTATATATACATACACATACATACACACGCGCGCGCGCGCACACACACGGTTTAGTACTCTGCAGTTTCAGGATCCACCAGGAGACCTGGAATGCATCCCCTGCGGATAAGGGAGGACGGATGAATTAAGTTCCCAGTTGCAGGACAGTGGGGTCAGCACTGACACCCAGGTCTGGGAAGTGACCGAGCCTAGAGTGATTCCACCACTTCCACATTGCCTTTCACGAATCTGTTAGTAAGGCCGCAGAATGTAACTGCTTTTCAAGGTTGTAAGATGAAGATTTCTACTTCTAGCAAAAATGGACCAAGCAGCTCAGACCAACCTTCCACAAAAATGTAGAACGCGTGAGGCTATCAGGAGGACACAGCAACAAAGAATCATCAAGATGGAAGTGAACATAAACCCAGAGCCGAGCCGAGCTTTGGGGCAGCTTCCCGGGAGCCCGGTGCCAGGTCCAGAGAGGAAGGTGACCGGTGTGAGGTGCTTTTCCAGCTTTGGGGGCCTGGTGTGCTGGCGAGGCCCCCTGAGTGCAGGAAAAGCAAACAGATATCCTCTGAAGAAAGGAATGATTATTACCCTCAAATTACTTTAACATCATTTCTTCAACACTGTAAGAATAACAAAGCACAGAAAGAAATGAGAATCAGAACCAAAACAAAGATGGTAGAAACAGATCCAAAAATATCCCAGATACCGACGTGATAGGACACAGATTTTAAACACGTTCATATCTGAAGAGATCAAATTGCAAATGTCAGCATAAAACTGGAAACTAAAAAGAACGCAGAAAGAGTTCAGCCCCTGGTAACAGGTGAGGGAAGCTGAACCAATGAAACACCTGCTGAGAGCCCTGAAGAGACACAGACGCAGAGACACAGACGCAGTGAGGACGCACGGCCCGAACCTGGGGAAGGAAGAGGCCCTGGGGCTGGGCCTGGGAACGGGGGCATCTGCTGATTTTGGAAGAGGGGATTCAGAGGCCAAGAAATAGCAGTTTTCAAAAGACCCAGAGCTAGTAAGAATTAAAAATCATACTCCAGCCTGTACTACTGTGTGTCTAAAATATTTGTAATGAAAACATCCGGTTGTCTTCTGGCTTCCACTGTTTATGCTGTGAAGTCAATCATAGATTCTACTGATCTCTGACGGCAATCTGTCCGCCTTTCCCCTTTTAGTAAAGGTCAACCAGAAACAGACCGACTCACGTCAGGTCTGAACCTGGTTTTAATCCTGCAGCTGGATTAAGGTGGTCGGAGAGGCCAGTGACTCAGCTTTGTACTGGGGCAGTGTCTTCTTTGGGGAAGAACAACAAGTTTTCATACGTAATGTCTGTCACTCAGTTAAAAATAACACATTCCTTAGGATGACAAAATAATTGACAACAAGATTAGGTTAATTAATCTGTCTTTAACATGAATGCACAGAGATCATGAAGACAGTCTTTACTTTATGCTAAAGTTTTATTTTTACAACCAAGTCCCTGCTCCATCTGGAACTGACTTACATATGGTGTGAGGTAGAGATTCGGTTTATTTCTCCCTCCATGTGGATAATCAGCTGTCGCCACCTCACTTACTGAGTAATCAATTTATTCTCCAATATGCAGTACCAACTCTATCACATACATGAGTTTTTTGGCATCTCATTATGCTCTATTGGTCTGGGTTTTTTTTGTTGTTGTTCATATTATATTATTTATGAAAAAGACTCAAAGGACATAACCAAAGATAAATCTAAAATATTCTCTTCATTCATAAAGAATTGCTTATAAGTATTACAAAATAGCTGATTATGGAGATTTGAAAAACTTATTTCTAATTCAAACACGTCTATAGCTCATTTGTCTACGTTTATGTAAAAATACTTAATCAGACAGTGATACTTTTGAAAATAAATTTAAAAATAACCCTATTATCCTGATTTTCATTCTAATCAAACAGGAAACTGGTTAAAATCTAGTGCCTAGAAAAGAGCAGAGGTACACAATCATGTGCTTCAGTTGCCAATTACTTAAAGACCCGATTGCCTCATCTAAATATTAATTCAGAGCTCCTTGGTCTTTTTAACACTGTCTTTCTGGCGTTTTTCAAGCATCATCTTTTTTTTTCTTGATTCTGAAAAGACATTCCTGTAAACTCCCCTCAATCTAGATAATCTGATACCTGTTAAAAGACTTATCCACATACCTCGCTAGTAAAAGACTTACCCACGAAGCTGACCAGTAAAAGTAACTGACCAAGGCCAAAAGATAGATGCAGAAAATAAACCCCCCATCCTCACAAGGAAAAGGGATGCTGTCCTACAAGTCCACATAATTTTAAAGCTTTTAAGGATCATGTACACCATTTACCACTTCTGTGAAGACTCCAACAATTACCTAGGGCTACTGTTCACTGACGTTCTGTGTCTGGTTAAAGCAGGGAATCGTGATCAGACACACACATTCTCCAAGGCCTACCATCGACGCCATTCCTTTACACTTACTTGCAGCCTGACAATGAAACCGGAATCCTCGTGGGATTTCACCTGTAACACAAAACACATTGCTGAGCAGCAGAAACCCGGCAGCTCTGTTACCCCACAGCAATACCACCCCACAGGGTGAAAATGCGAGACAATAAACCTCTCTCATAGTGGTTTTTAAACTAAGGTCTGATGACTATCAAAGACTTTGATGTACTGTCTAAACCACCTTAAAAAGCAAGGTCTCCCTTGCAGAGAAAGAAATTCTAGGCGAAGCACACTTGTGCTGAGGGGCGGGAGCTCGAGGTCCAGGAATGGGCCTCAGGGGTCAGAGGTCCTTGGCGGAGCAAGGTAGATGGCACAGGTATCCCTCAGAGGAAAAGTCTCGAAATTCTGGCTAATGCTTCACAGCCACATAAACACTGCTCTTCCCAGTGTGCACAGGACTGGTTTTCCTGGCGTCCGGAGACTAGGAAACCTGCTGGGCATCTTAGTGGACTTCAAAGCAACAGACAAAACTAGGGCAGAAGTGCTGCCCCAGATCCCTTCTCCGTCGCTCTCCTCCATCCGTGCTGCTCCTACTTAGTCTTAAAGGTACAGTGCTCCTTTCGCCACTGTCCATCCTCCTGGGAACCGAGCAAACCCCTTGTGCTGGTAATGAATGGCTCGGACCAGCTGGAGTAGCGGAAGGACGTCCACCAGCCTCACAGCAGCTCCACTGGGCAGCATCCCAGCTTTACAGATGACCAGCAGGTTCGGGAGGGTTAAGGACTTTGCTGAAGTTACAAAGCAGCGGCAGCTAGAAACCAGCGATGGCTGCCGTGAAGGGTGGGGCAACGGGACCCTGGAGAGGAGCCACAGCATGAAGAGCTCTTAGATCATCCACTGTGGACAGCAGCAGGGAGCCAAGGGCGGCTCCGTGCTCCCGGGCACTCCACCCACCCAGTGCTTCCCCCAGGTTAGAAGCCTAAACCTCAAACCCTGTGTCAACACCTAACTCTTATCAGTCTTTCAACCAAGTATCATGAAGTCTTGTTACATTTCTAAGAATCTGCTGGGCATCAGCTTGTAAGAACACAAACAGTGCATCAGACACGGTCAAGAGGACGCGTGGTCCTCGGCCGAGGCCGGCCGCGGCGCTCACCGGGACTGATGAACCTGTGGAAGTCCGCCAGGATGCCGTCCCGGAGCGAGTACTTCACGCAGCCGATCTCACAGGGCAGGAAGCGCTGCTCACAGTGCGGAGGCAGCTCGCCATGGCTGAAAATGTTCAGAAAGTAAAAAATGCCTCCAAGGAGAGCTAAAAAAAAAAAAATCGTAAGACAACAGAAACAGATGAGTGTCTCAAACTGACCCACCTACAAAGCTTCTAGAGCCATTTTCCTTTTGTTCCTATATTCCTAAATAAGCTGAAAAAGAACTAATCAGCTGTATGGAATAAACGAATCAAAGCTTTCAGATTACACTTAGCAAGGGTGAAAGTAATAACCACTCTTCGCATGAAGCAACAGAGTTATTCAGACTTGCAGCCCACTCTATATAATTTAGTTAAACATAAACCTTGAATCTCAGGAACAACCATAGTCAATAGGACTATTTGGGAAATAAGTCAGGTAGAACAGGTGTAGGAAATCTGTGATGTAAACTATGGACAATCTAACTCACCCTTTCCTGTTTAGTAATGTACACAAGACCACCTATAAATTATCTTAAGAAAAATTATGTGAAGATGTTTATGATCAGGACTGGCCACATCTAAGACTGTTAAAAGTTCATTCATCTTCAACAAAGTCAGACCACAATTGATAAAAAACGGCCAGAGGGGAACGCAAGGACTCTTCCTGAGCAGCTACATTCTCTTCTCCGCTGGATCGGTAATTCACCTTCACCTTTGTAACTTACATGTGCCTAAGTCTCAATGTATTTCACTGTCTAGCTATAAACACACAAATGCATAAAGTATGTTTAATAACACATGAAGTACGTTTTTAATTTCTGTAATAGAAAGAAAACTCTCCAGTGTGACTTCAACAAATGCAAATTACCTGCTCTCACGACTTCAGTGCCATCATTTTTGAACATCTGTAACCAATTACTTTGAAATGCACGTTCAAAATGAACAGAACACATATTTACTGATCAGGATATCACAGTGTCTTGAGCACTCAAACTCATCTAAACAAAACACGTTAGGATTACTCTACCTTGATCATTTTTTAGAGACAAGCTTGACATATCCGGGGGTGAGACGTTCTGCTTCGGCACGAGCATGCCTGGCCTCCTCATTGGGGTGCAAGCAGGTTTCTAAAGAGGAAGAGAATGATCGACCACATGCTTACCCTCTTGCTGGGCACTTTATGCCACATACTTAAATTTAGCCAAATAGCTGCAACACGGTCCACACGACTTCAGTAACCTCTCCAAGCCAAGGAACCTGGTGAGTGAAAACGCCCACTTTTGTCAATGACACCAACAGGACGGCAGACAACGGCCAAATCTGTAAGTATCCTGACGCACAGGCGAGTGGTAAATAACAAATTCCACCACTGCTGCACGTCACCACACTAATCCTACGGAATCACGTGACATGTGCCAGGTCCCGTGGCCGAAAGAACATTCTTCGAGAAGCACTCTGCCACTGTTTGCCTTTCCCTTCAATTAAAAACCCGATCGTGCGGACTCCAAGCGTCAACGAGGTATCCAGACACACGCAGTTATTTTCTGAAGGGGAACGTCTCATAACACGTTGTACAGTAAGGAGACGGAAAAAAATACCAAGGCTCGAAAGGAGAAGTACAAATTAAACTAATGAGAGTGTCTACCCTAACATGTGTCCTCAAAATGAAATCCTCTCAGACCTAAAGCAAGCGAAGCTCTCTGGGATTTCAACCCAAGGCTGCAGTCGAAAGGATGGGCGGAATCCCACCAGCTAAGAACGGGGCGGACACAGGAAGGGCGAAACGCAACCACACTGCACTTTCTTGATGCGACTCCAAAAAAACCCCAATCTTATGTAGTATTTTTACCTTCTACCTACACAGAAATTTACCCAAACACACCGTCTTCAACTCTTACCCGTAAGGTGTGCAAACACTCACCCACATCTTGCCAGTCTCGTTGTCAATGTTTTAACCTACGGCAGCTGGCCCGATTCCGGGTGTCATTTACAAAGAAAGACTGGCCCAAACTTAATTTAAACATACCAAAAAAAATGGTTTTTCAATCACGAAAGACTTGAAAGGGACCCTGAGAGGTCCTCTGGTCCAGGCCCTAAATTAGCCACAGGCTTCCACGGACGATCGGGGTCCCTAGTGGGATTTCCCCGGCCTTCACGGCCAAACGATACCAACGTGCGCCCTAGCAGAGGGGCCTGTGGGGCTAACAACAGGCCTGCTGACACCGGGAAGGAAAATGAAGGCTTTGCACTGTCTAACCCATCGCCCGGCGTAGCCCAACATGCCCCAGGCGCCCATCCAGCACCTTGACCGCCCCAGGCTCGGGCAGGCAGCTGCTCGTCTCCCGCGACCTTTACCTGCTTCTCCAAAGGCCCAGAGTCCTTTCCCTGGGCGGCCCTCCACGCTCGAGCCATGTCTGCGTATTTGTCCTTTTCGTCCTGGCCCAGGAGCTGGGGGACGGGGCGGGAGAGACACGAAGAGGAGCCGCAGTGAGGCCCGGGCGCCCCGGCCCCGCAGGCGGATGCCCGGCGGTCGCGGGGCTGCGGTCCAGGCGTCCGTTTGTCCCCGGCCGGCCGGGCGGGCGCCAGGGCTCCCCGCCCCCCACCCCGCAGGGGCCACGGGGTCGCGGCGCTCCTCGAGGCCCAACTGCCCTGCCCGCTGACCCCTGCGCCTCACCGCCCAATCAGCAGAGCAGTAGGGGATGGCATCCGCCACGCGAGCCACGGGCAGGCCCCGCCGCCGCAGCTCGGGGATCTTCTCCTGCACGAAGAAGTAGTAGGCGTTCCGGCTGGCCTTGCGGTTCGGCATGGCGAACGCGGCCCGGCCTCGGTGGACCTGAGACAGCAGCCGCCGCCAGCGCTTCGACGGGCCGGAGACAGCACCAGCTGCCGGCGCCCTCGCCGGGCTCCCGCCCTTAGTAACCGCGGAGCCGCCGCGCGTGCCGCTCCGCAGCTCTCGGCCAATCAGGGCGCAGCGCGCAGCCGCATTGGCGGCGCTGGTTGAAAAACGAGGCTGAGACGTCAGATCCCTCCGCGTGCGGCGGTGGGGGCGGAGCGTGGTCGTGAGTGTGGGGCATTCTGATTGGCTGGGAGGAGTCCTGGGCGGGGTGTGGTCACGTGGAAGGCCTGGAGCAACTTCTGGGCATTATTGCGTAATATGGAACCAAGAGGGGAGAAGAGCATGCTGGGAGTGCTTCAGTCCTTACACGTTTTGCAGCTGTGGGGGCTCACTGTGCCGAGCCCTGCGAATGTGTGGGGCGGAGGGAGGAACACTGCAAACAAGACCTTTTCCTTCTAGAAATTTCCAGTCTAAATGGAGGGGAGGGATGACAAAAACACGGACTCCACCAATATTGTTTTGTTTTCCCCCCTTAAGTCATAGTTATTATTGTTTCAAAGACTATGGATTTTTTTTTCTTATCCTCACCGGAGGACATTTTTGTACTTATCTTCAGAGCGGGAGGGAGAGAGGGAGGAAGAGAGAGAGAGAAACATCGATGTGAGAGAGACACATTGACTGGCTGCCACCCACACGACCCCAGCCGGGGCCGGGGACAAACCACAACCGAGGTACGTTCCCTTGGCGGGAACCGAACCCGGGCCTCTCTGGTCCACGGGCCGATGCTCTAACTGTTGAGCCAAACCGGCCAGGGCTGGATTTTTTAAATGCAGTTTTTAATAAGTGCTAAGGAGGAAACACACTGTAAGGGGCTGAGATTTAAAATAATGTTCTGGAGCCTGGCGGGTGTGGCTCAGTGGTTGAGCATCGACCTGCACCAAGAGCTCGCCAGTTCAATTCCTGGTCAGGGCACATGCCCAGGTTGTGGGCCTGATCCCCAGTGGGGGGGGGGGGCATGCAGGAGACGGCCAGTCGATGTTCTCATCGATGTTTCTATCTCTCCTCCCATCCTCTCTCTCTCTCTAAAATCAATAAAGAAAAATCTTTTTTAATAATGTCCTTGAATAAAGTGTTACAGATTCCCTCATAAAGATCTGGTTCATGTTTTGTTTGTTTTGTTCCTAGAGCATATTTGGAACTACTGTGAAAACTTTCTTGTTTCCATTATATTTCCTAATTGGTTACTGCTGGTGTGTAGAGAAGATATTGATTTTAGTCAATCTTGTATATTTAGTCACCCTGCTGAACCCTGGACTTGTCCTTCCATTGGTTTCAACTAATGCGTTCTGCTTTGCTTCAGTCCGTGGCTAGCCATCAATTTTTAAGATACTTGTTTAAAACATTTTTATAACCATCTATACAGTTCATCAGTACCCATATCCACTCTTCCCAAATAGATAAGCAGCCTAGAAAACCATTGCTTCTCCCCTCTCAGCCTCCCAGCCTGTAGTAGGCAGTTAGACATGAGCAGAGTAGGAACCGTAGGCCAGATGCAGAGGGTCACCAGGGTGGAGAACCCTGGGTGCCTAGCAACTGGCAAAACTACAAGCCCTGGCAGGACTGCTCCCTGAAGCCTTAAGCCTTGGAGATGACCCCTAGGCCTCAGCTGTTTCAGCTCCAGGCCCAGAGAAGCAGCAAAGTCAGATGGAGCTCAACACCATGGCTGACATCAGGACCAGCTGCATTGACTCGTGACCCCGGTGCCCACCAATCAGTAGAGACCATGAGGAGGGCACACCTGGAAATCTCATGAATGTTCTATTGGGATTCTTCCCTGAGGCCTCCAGGTAAAAACCTTGATGCAGGGACTCAGGGCAGCTCTCTATGGAGCAGACTTGTGCCTTCCCAGCCCCTTCCCCCAGGGGCCTTCTGGCTGACTCCTCCTCCATGCTCTGAGCTCAGTCCATACACCTGCAGCCTGGAGTCAGGTGGTGGGATCCTGCCGGTATCCCTGCAGTGTCTCTCTCCCTTGCTGCCTGCCTTCCATTCCTGCTGCCCCACACTCAAGTTTGGGTGCTCGTCCCTTCCTGCGCTGTTGATGTGGGCTCTCACCTGCAAAGGCCTCCACAGCCTCCCTTCCCATCAATCCACCCTCCACCTGGGGCCGGAATAACTTGGCTGCAACAAGGTCTGATATTGATCTTCTGCTTAGATATCCTTATGGGTGGACCATTCCTCGTAGAATGAAGCCCAGACTTGGTGGCCTGGCTCCCCGTAGCCTGATGTCAGCCTACCTTTCTGGCCTTTTTGCTGACTTGGCCCTTCATGAAGCCATGTTCCTGCAGAGACCTGCCCTTGCTTCTGCCGGTTGCCTGTGGGTCTGCACTGCCTCCTGATCCATTTCTGCTTGAGAAATTCTGCCCAGACCACGGTTAAGACCCAGCTCTCACCTTTTCTTTTTGCTATTTTTATTAATTTATTTTTCTTACAGATGTTCCTCCCCCTCCCCGACACCCTCCTCCCAATCCCCCCCCCCCCAGCATTGTTGTCTATGTCCACTGGTTACGCATACATGCATATAAGTTCTTTGGTTTAACCCCCCCCCCCCCACCGCCCTCCTCTGAGGTTTGTCAGTCTGGACCGTATGTCAGGGGTCACCTTTTCATGAAGACATTTCTGACCAGCACTCCTGATGGGTGACCGACCCCTCTCCCTTTGTCATTCCCGGCACATGTCCTGATATGGGCCTTGCTCCACTATTGCACTTAAAGACCCCATGTCTGTCTGTCCTCCACCATCACAAATGCTACAACTCACCACACATTCTGTGACATGAGGGGCTGCAACTTACTCATCTCTAAATTCCTATTCAGCTTGAGTTTCTGGACAGCATAGTTTCTAGAATATTGTAGGTGCTCACTAAGTGTGAATAGACAAATGAATTCAGGGAAGAGAGGAGACAAGACAATGAGGAAAATGCCCTTTGTAGTCTCTGAACAGTTTGTAATTCACTAGACAGGTCCAGACGCATCATGTCTGCGGCAGGCACCCCCTCAGGACGGGGGCAGGGGTGCCCCTCAGGCTGGTGAGAGAGCCTCAGCCCACGTCCCAGTGCAGGGGTCAGGGCTGCTTTCCTTAACTCGAGCTCCTGTTGGAGCTGCTTCCTTTCTGATGCTCAGCATTCTGGCCCGTTTTCCCGGGGTGAGGTCATCGGATGACATACTTGTTCTGGCTCACTGCCCTCCTGGTCCGTCTTTGACCCGTGTGGGCAGAAGGCCTCTAGGAGAATGCTTGGGGCTGAGATGCAACCTTCTGGCCTAGCGCCTAAGGCCTCGATGCAGTACAGGAAGACAAACCGCCCTTGCCCGTTCCCCTCTGGGCCGGAGGATGCGGCTTGACCCCTGGGATCGGCTCTCTTCTTCGTTTGGAGGCTGTCAATGCTGTTCTGGGCGCCAAAGGATGTCAACGTGGAGGTGAAAACAGAACCCAAAGCAGAAACTGGGGACGGGGGTCCTGTAAGAGAGTCAGGCTTAGTCCACCTCCGGCTCTGCAATCCCCAGAGAAATGACAGGCTGACCCATCCGTCCGTCAGCCAGGACTCCCAGGGATGCAGCTGCTCGTCAGGGAGTGACTACTGATGACTGAGGCAGGACGAGGGCAGGTGCATGTTTGGGGGCTTTGCATCTGGCTAAGGACACCACCTGTCGCCCTCGCTCCTTCCTCCAGGGTGTCCCAGAGGCCGAGCACAGTGTGGCTCAGCTGCTGTCCAGCACCGTTTCCTCCGCTGCAGAAACGTCAGAGCTTGTGGACCATCATACTGAAGAAAATGCGAATGGACCACAGTCCGCCCAGCGACGATCACTTCGTTCTTCTGTTGTTTCCCTGGTCCCTGAGACACACTTCCCATCACTGAGACCACGTTCCACAGAGAATGTTGTGTTTTTCTCAATCTTATGCTCTTTTTCTGCACATTCTCCTTGGCTGGACGGCTGCGGGGACGGCATGATTGGAGCGCTCCCGCAGGGCGTGGCCTCAGGGTGGGGCAAGCAGACCCCACGGGAGTCGGCACCTGGTGCCACCGCAGTCCAGTGTGAAGCCTGAGTCAGCGGGCGCTTGGATGAAATCTGCTTCAGGGATGTTCAGCACCTTCTCCCGGTCTTTTACTTGTTGTCCGCACACGTCTGTTCTTGGCAGGACTTGGCAGACAGCTTCTGAGATGCTCCGGCAGCCCGTCCTCTCCTCTGCGTTTCCTTCTTCCAGGCATTCTCTTCCGAAAGCCACGCACTCCTCCACAGGAAGAGGCCTCCAGCTGGAAAATATTTCCAGTTTCCCGTCCAGGGCGCCCGGAGTCTCGGTCTTTTGTGGTGGTTGTTTAGTGCCTCGTTTTAAGTTAGATTTTTTTTAAACTTTGAAATTCATTGGAGGTGGTTTTGAAGATACGGGGATGGGGAAGACAACACACCCAACAGGTAGCACAAGGGAAGGAAAGATGAGCAACATTTAGATGAGACACATGAAAAAAATAAGTTAAATGATACAGGAACTCTGGATATATTGAAAACCATGGGCCTGTACGTTTTAAATGGG